AGAATCACAGAATGTTCGGGGTTGGAAGGGACCTCTGTGGGTCATCTAGTCCAACCCCCCTGCCGAAGCAGGGTCACCCTTCCTCATGTTCAGACGGAACTTCCTCTGCTTCAGTTTGTGCCCATTGCCCCTTATCCTGTTGCTGGGCACCACTGAAAAGAGCTTGGCCCCATCCTCCTGACACCCGCCCTCAAGATATTTATAAACATTTATTAGGTCCCCTTGCAGTCTTCTCTTCTTCAGGCTGAACAAGCCCGGCTCCCTGAGCCTCTCCTCGTAGGAGAGATGTTCCAGTCCCCTCACCACCCTCGTAGCCCTCCGCTGGACTCTCTCCAGTAGCTCTTCATCTTTCTTGAACTGGGGAGCCCAGAACTGGACAGAGTACTCCAGATGAGGCCTCACCAGGGCAGTGTAGAGGGGGAGGACAACCTCCCTCAACCTGCTGGCCACACTCCTCTTAATGCACCCCAGGATCCCATTAGCTTTCTTGGCAGCCAGGGCACACTGCTGGCTCATGGTTAACCTGTCGTCCACCAGCACTCCCAGGTCCCTCTCCGCAGAGCTGCTCTCCAGCAGGTCCGCCCCAAGCCTGTACTGATGCATGAGGTTGTTCCTCCCCAGGTGCAGGACCCTGCATTTGCCTTTGTTGAACCTCATCAGGTTCCTCTCTGCCCAACTTAATTATCCTCAGCACTTCCAGGAGACCAAGAAGCAAGGACATGAGAAGGGGAATTTAAAGTGAATGCGATTGTCACACAAGGAAATACTAAAAGTAGATAGCTATTAACTTCCATTTAGATGACATGGGCAGTATTCTCATTCCTACTGCCTGAAACAATACCTAGCCACGTGTGGTGAAATCCTGGACAGTAGATGGTATTAACTGATCACCTGGGACCTTACATGGTTGGAGAGAAATCACATTTCCAATCGCTTTTGCGTAACTGTACTCGATCCTTCTTCCAACCACTTCCAAACTGGGAAAGCTATTGTGAATGATCTAATTCCTGCCATCATCGAGGGCATAAGAGTACATTAAGAACAGACAAAGCCCAGAAAAAGTAAATAATATATTTTTTTTAAAAAGCCCTTATAGGGAAAATAGCTGTTCCCATCGTTTAAGAAGTGACTGCCAAGGTTACTAATGCACGGGAATTCCCACTGACTTTTTTCAAACTGTAGCACAGTATTTTTCTTCAGGAATATTATCTTGCAATTATACAGGTACTATGAAATAAAAAAACCCCACACATATGTCCTAAATGCATGTGATAACTGTTTGGAATTTAAAAAGACATTGTTTTTCCCTGACAGTTTTGTTCATGAACAAAACTAGTAACAGGCATAACAGATTCATTAAGCAGGGAACTACTGGACTATCTGCTTATTTAAGTTCCCTGATTCTGAGTAACATCTATATTCAGACATACACTGAAGACTAGATTTTTTTAAAAACGGTCCTGATGAAAATGCTCTAACGTTGCTCTGCTAAAGCCCTGTTTGAACTAGAGAAACCTTGTGTGATAAGACTGTGCTGAAGTTTCAAATCCTCTGATAAGTGTCCCTGGCTGTGCTTCTAAATATTTTTTTCCCAAGCTGATTTATTACATAAACAAATTCCACATCAGAGATACATGTTGTTCAGCACTTGGGATGTGTTCTTTTGCTCTTGATTTATGAAAACACGAAGGCCCCCAAAATAAAAACCAGCTAATTTTAGCACCGCGTTCCAAATATCGGGTTTCATCCTGATCAACTGTTTCTTTGAGGACAGTGACACCAAGCGGCAGAGATGACTTCAACTCCTTTTTATCCCCCAGCTATTCTAAATTCTAACTCTTGTCTGTCTGTCTTTGGCACACAAAAAGCAGAATGTGGTTAACTGTGCTAAAACTTCCAACTGCTTTATTTGTATGTTGTGTTCATACACCGGTGTATTTCAACAGCGTTTGATTTGTGAAAGGTTAACCCAGATATAAAGCTCATCTGCTTAGCACAAAACTGGAACAGATTAAGGGAAACGATTCCTGCTTCATTAACAACAGACCATTAGATTTCAGATCCTTTACTGACATGTGGTATGATGAACTGCTGCACTCTCAGGACTGCCACGGAGAATTCTTTCCCTGCATTTTTACGCTCTCTAAGGTGTTAACAAATTCTTTTTTTGCCTTCACTTCTGCTGACACTGTGAACAAATGTCCTTTTCACCTCAAGCATAAGTGCTGACTTTCCCATCTTGACTTGGAAATCTGCTTCCTCGTCAACAATGCAAAGTATTTTCAAAAGCATTAATAATCCCAATAATAATCAGATAAATACAGCACTGAGAATGGTCTGGATGCTAAAAAGCGAATATAACTTGTGCTTGAATAAATACTAAGGATCTCTTCTTTCTTATACCTTTATTCGCCGCCTTCATATTGCCCAGCTTTCAAAAAAACCCCAATCAATACCCAGAATAGAATCATTACTATTTCTACAATTCAGTGCACATCACCACCACATAATAGCGAGAAAAGGATTTAAAATACGGAAGTTCATGCCCTTATCTTAGTAGTACTGCAAGAGTTGCCTGTTTCCTTATAGGCAAAAAAAATTTTCCTGGTACAGCCAGTGTATGTCCTGGCACTACACTGAAGGCAATGGCAAACTATTTTTCTTTTAGCAATAAATCTGAAACTTCGGCTTCGATTCTTGCCCAGCAATGCAAAACACTTTCAGGATGACCAAAAAGAGTAAAAGAAAGTAGACCTGAAGACACTGCAAGAGGGGAAGCCTCTACTGGATGACATTTTGTTCAAAGTCCTATCCTAGCTCAATGAAACTTCCATCTAATGAGATCTAAACGCATTTTTCACATATACGGCTACGTAAGATACCACTTATTTAGGATAATGATACTCAGTTCCACTGAAGTAAGTGAGGCTATCTTTTGAGCAAGTGGAATAAAGAAGTACACAGAATGATGGAGGGTCTCAAAGTCTAGCCCATAAAGAACTGCTAAGCTGAATTATAAAAACTATAAATGGCTTTCATTTGCGTTTCCACTTGAATTTTATCTTAAATTAACACAAGTTATCTATGCCAACTATCTATGCCAAGTTTACCGTGTTTTAGAATTTTTCACCTAAGACATCACAACTGCTGACCTTGTTCTTGAAGCTCATCTAGCCTGTTCAAAGGATGGACCTTCTTTGCTGCTGAAGGGATCTGTTAGACTTATTTCCTACATCTCCAAGCTTTAAGAGAATACTACCAAACTAAATGGAACTGCGTCAATACATTCATTTAAGTATGTACTTTATGTCTTAGCAGGATTGGTGCTCACAGACATACAGGTGTTAAGCCAGAAGTGAAAGACGTAAACACTGAACAATGGCTACATTGTTCTTGAAGATTAATTGCTCTTAAGACGAAAGGGAAAAAAATTAAATGCCTGGTGTGTTCATATAACTGAATAAAAAGAAAACATTTTTTACCTCTTTGAGATCAACTTGCTCCCTATCACTTGTGCCTTTAGAAGACGAAGTTACATGTCCAGTTTTGAAAACTTTTTTTTTCAAAGGAAAAAAAAAAACCACTGCATTTGCCCTAAAAGATTCCCTACAAAAATAACTTAAAGGATGTCTCTCCTCTGACGAGAGCACCACACACTAGTGTAAAAGACAGTTCAGAGCATCTGAACTATCTTCATATCCTCACTTGGAATCCCTCCTCTTCCTCTTCCTCATCTTCTAGTACTTGGGTATCAAGATATTGAGATTAATTTATAATGGCAGTGAATACAAACCACAAGATAGTTTTATTTTGGCAGAGCCTGTGATGTTTTTTCTATACTTTTACCCAGTATATTTCAACTACCCACATCACCCTCCACTAGGACTTCTATTAATAGAGCTCTCTCACTAAAACATTCATCTTTACAGTGTTACCCAAATTTTTAGCATTGCAAGCAGCTTTTCAGTACTATTTCTGTACTGTTTCATTACGAAGTCTTCACAGATCTGCAGAGCAAGGTGATTTTTAATCTCAAACCAATCATTTCTCCATCTATTTCTTCCATTTTACTTCTTTTATATTATTCTTTTTGTGTGGGATTTCTTCTCTCGCTCCTCCGTATTTTCCACAATTTTCTCTTACCCTTTTCTGTGGCTAGTGATCTGCACATTTGGCGGATCAGCCCTCCTTTTCCAAATGCCCATTTGTGCAAGGGGCACTGAGAACTGCACCTCACATTTCAGGCTTCTATCATGTTATCAACAGTCTTCTCCAGGTTTTGAAAATATGATAACAAAAAGCCAAGTAATTAAAAAAAGGCAACAAAAAGACATACCATTCATTATGATTATTAATCCACCAGAACAGCCTTACAAAAATATTTAGGATTCACACTTCCTAATTAGATACCTAAATCCTCATGATTTAGTTGTCTGGCAGGCACTTAAAAACCTTTCTAAATGTGGTTTACAGGATTTTAGTACCCCAAAACCTACTTAAAAAAATCCTTTATTTCCAGTCCTTAAAACAAAAGTGCTCTCCACTCCCAAGCTACTTAAGAAACAAATAGAATGCTGCCACGCTCCAGAAGACATGCAAAGGGACAAAACTGAGAGGTGTGGTTTTATAAGCAAAAAGCCTCCTCTAAATGTCATTGATAAGGCAAACATACTCTTGCATCATGCAGTACTGTCACTGTCTTGCAGTCACAACACCTATGTCCTTGGTTAAAACACTTTTTGCTCACAACTGCTTAGAATTTAACTTTGAAAGAGACTTTTCTTACAGTGAAGCTAGCAAGTTTCACTTGAAGGCAGTGCATTGTATTTTATCTTCATCAAGATACGCGAACTGTGCACTCATGCAACTAAGCCTACCAAGACGCAAGCTATTTCTACTTCTACATGGCGAAGCATCAGGAATAGCAGTGATTTCTGGTTATTCAAACTGCAGGATCCAACAGGATTGCAATAGCATCTACAAGCCATGTTAGTACTTACATCCAAGCTTCCTTCACTTGTAGATGAAGAACTAAAAACATCCTCCTCACCACAATCTCTGTTCATCCTCAAGTGTTCTTCTGTCTGCAACACAAACAAGTATCCTACACAGCAGCAGCAAAGAAAACAAAACAGCAAAACCACGCCAGAGCAAAGCATCAAACCTCATCATAGAAACAAGACAAACTGTCTCAGCAGTGCTGGACCTGACTGCTGAGAAACTACGAAGTACTCTGATGTAGGCAAGGCCCTGAGATATCCATTAGCAGAAAGATTTAAGACCAAGAATATAAAAAAACCAGAACAATTCCGGGGAAGGAGGAAAACAAGTAATGAGCAACTCCTGCAGCACCAAGGACCAGACTGGAAGTCTCTGCTATACAGACTGACAGTGGGGAACAAGCAGAGAAGTTGTTCCCTCCCACTTGTCAACAACAGGACTGCTTCTGTGCGCTAGCGTATACCCTACTTCAGCCTAGATCCCGCGACCATCTGCACAGGACTCTGTTCTGCTGGATTGTTTTGCAGCGCTAATTTGATCCGGATTTAGCCCGAGGCACCTGACTACATTTCACAGCTAAAAAGATATGGAATTCATGCCACCTTTATGTTTCTTATGCCAGCTGCAGGAGAACAGAGGGTAACTGATCCAGCATAAAATTAGAATGGAGAGAACAAGATGATACCTGATCTGGCTTTAAGCCTGCCAGTACGAAGTTAACCAAAGAAATACTTTCAACAAATTTGTATTAACCATGAGAACAGGACTCTGTTTTCGCTTGGTGTCATTGTGTTTCCAATGAAGCAGAAAGTTGTTGGTGGTTGTTTTTTTTTTCAAAAAGTTACATCTAGTGTATTGTCATACCACAATTACTGCTTTCCATGAACTAGCTGAGAAAGAAAGCATGTGCGTGGGCATGGAAATCTGAGCGTAGGCCCGCAGCGTGCAGTGACACCTGATCCAGGGCAGTTTGCAACACTGGCTAATACTCTCCTTCCCTTGCAAAAGAAATTGCCTTCCCCTTGTAAATGCCCACAACTCTGCAACGCTACTGCTGTGCAAGACTTTGGACAATTCTTGCTATCAACTAGTTCTAAAATACAGACTACGTGTGACTACATACACACACAGAGAATCACTGCAAATCACAATGCAAACAAAACAAAAAAATAAAACAAATAAGCAGAACCAATTTAAGTCATGTGGAGGAGTAAAAATGTAATAAAGAGCAGAGTTTGGGAACTCTGGGCCTTTAATTCCAGTGCCCTGAAATCACAGGGTATCCTATGATAAACCTACCAAATCAATTCTTCAAAGAACTTCATTAATTTGCCCTCACTCTGCTAACTAAGTCCGTTCAGCAGTTTTACTGCTGTTTTGACTGGAAATCTTCCACAACACCAAGACAGATGTGTTACAGCCAGTTAACACCTGCTTGCTCCTGTGTGCTGCACTGTTCTGGAGTTCTCAGTAATTCTTCCATCTATCAAGGTTCAAACTCCAAGAGGTTTTTACTGAAAAGGCAACAAGGACTTCCTTGCTGGACTAAACAGAGCGGTGGTTTTGGTTTCTTTTCCTACAAAATATTTGTCATCTGAAAGTAAGAGTCCAATACAGAAATGACCAAGAGAAGTCAATTAACTTGTCAGAACTAGCAGCAAGAAAGACTTACACCTTTACCTTAAATGTAGAAGTCTTTTTTTGTACTAGTTTGTACCGTTCCTACGTTTTCCAGATGAAATAGTACTTGTAACTTGTTAACTGATCCTCAGTATCCTTAGCACCTGTTAAAATTTGTATTTCAAAAACCCTCAGAGTATCACCCCTATGTCTCCGATTACCAAGCCTGAGGAAAACAATAGAAAAAAAAGAGACGAGTTTACAATCTTGGGACACTTATCCCAAACTCAGCTGTGACAAACCCTCTGCAGTAACCGCAGAATTGGGATGCTTCATAGCAACTTTTTCCAAGGTTGCATGTGTAAATATTTTACAAATCAAATCTGAGATGCTTCAGGAGTTAGAACTCCAAGAGCACACACTTCACAGTGAAGTTCAGGAAAATAGCATCAGAAGACAAATAATAATACAGAAACCGTGTGCCGTAATATATTTGGTTCTTCTAGAGGAACTACAGCCTCGCAGTGTGCTCCGTAGAGGCTCAAGCTGAGGCCCTGTGTTTACTTGATTCTTCCAGGCAGACACAGCATTATTGTTCTAGTTATGCTTTTGTTCCCTTCTAAATGGGAAGTATTTTCTTACGGAGGATACACACTCCGAAAGTGGCTGACTTCCTATCTCATAAAATGCAGGTTCCATGTGTCCTTTGTAAGATGTTAAGAATAGCTCAGCATCCATGACAGACGCTATTTTTCAACACAGTAATTCCCAGTGTCCATAAAAGAAGCTATTGCCCAGCAAAAGCACCCCGAATTTGGTCATAATCAAAAAGGCAGAGACCTAGTAAAGCTTCCGGAAAGCTTTCACAGTTTTAAAAACATGATTGAGAAGACTGGAAGGGTAAGTAAAACACCAGTCCATTAACAAGCGTACGGTTCTCAGTACCAGTTAATCCACACATTTTACGATTTCACTGCGAAAGCCCTGGAGGCCTTCTTAAACCAGACAAAAGAAAATTCTCTTTTTACTCTGACATCCCAGAGTATTCAATACTTTATAATCAAAATCAGTGGACATTGATCTTTGTAGCAAAGGATGAAAAAAGTATGAAGATAAAAGCCCAGTATTTTTATACATTCTTGAGACAGAAAGTTTTTCTGTATTTAATTTCTGGGACGAATGACAAATTTTACATAAAGGCATCGCAACAGATGCTGGTTTTACAGACCTGGAGATGGTGATAGCATGACTGTACAGAACTTCCTAAAGATATAAATGCTTTAAAACAGATTATCACCTGCGCACGGAAAAGTCAGTAGGACACTCTACTTAGTATCCTAATGTACTCTGTATTACATCAGTTCTTTCACAAATGCATTTTGTAATCTGAGCTACTAATAAGTGGACATACGTTGCTTGAAACTACTGCCCTCTGTTAATACCTACTGAACTCACAGCATTTAAAAAAAAAAAAAATTAACTGGTCAGCGTGCCTGACTCCTTCAATAAGCAGCTGGTATCTCCATCAGGCTGCATTGATTAAACACAGTTTATTCATCTGCTAACAGATTACTCCTTGGAAGGGAAAAAAAAAACAACAAGCAAAACAATCCCTCCAAAAAACCCATCCCAAACAAACACCATCACCCACAGACAAAATACATCTGGAAAGAAAACAATTCTCTTTAATGAGGTAGTACACTGCTGAACACTTACCTCGCTGCTTCTTCTGTCAGCTTTAAATAGTCCCAGAAGTCTTGTCTTTTCTTTTTCTATTGCATCATTGCTTACTGAAGCCTTTCGACTTGGTTCTGAAACAGTCATAACACAATATTTTTTACGCTTCAGAAATAAAGATTCACCAAATAATTATTTTAAGACATCCTGGATTAATGTTGTACTTTTTTGAGCTGGCGATGTCACAAACTGAACTATTTAAGTAACTGCCAGATCCTGCACTTTCTTTTTCATCAAGCTTCTATTTGTTAAGAGTTTGTTCCAAAAATCTAATGGAGGCAAATTAAACAATTTAATAACCTTCAGTAAGTTTTCGTTCACAATTTAGTAATCCTTCTTAAAAAGCAAAACACAAGCAAGTTGCTTAGTCTTTAGAATTGCTTGTTAGAGGTCTCACTTAAAACTTGTGGAGTACTCTAGTACCTAAAAAAAAAAGATTTTTCAGAAAGATGACGACAAATATCTTTAACAATCCACAAGCCTGACAACCCACTGAAGTTAATGGGAAGACTCTCCATGTGGATTTGGATCAATCTCCATGAAGAGGAAAGAGACCTTCCCCCTGGAAAAATGGCTCTCCTTAGAACTGTAACCAACTGGTCGTGGCCATCTTTTCTCATGTTGGTGCTTTTGTTTCAGGTGAAGAGAGAGGCAAGTTCATATGCATTTCAGGCTGTAAGAGCTCAAACATGCATGTCCTCCTTCAACCAGGTAAAGAACTGTATGAATTCTCAGACCATTTAGTCTCCCTTCAGTTTACCCCACACCACCAGAGCTCGATGAGCGACATGGTAAGGCCATGAATCACAGGGAACAGCCATTGGTTTGACACGCCATATACAGGCTGTAAATCTCTCACACTTCTTTTAATGGACACTGCATAATGCTATGAAGCTTTCTCCCTGGTTCCCAGAACATCAGAGTACCCCACTAGCACACAAAGTTTAATGTACAGAGAAAAACTGCTTTCTCTTGTAAATATTTACTTCATTTGTTTAATAACAATTACAAAGCAAATGCAAAATGACTTGTTTGTTGACACAAAATAAAGGTTTACTTCACAAAAAAAACCCCTCATCCCAGAACTCCTGTAAACTGATTTGCACTTCACACGAAGCACACGATTCATTTTCACACAAATCGCTTTGCTTCTCAACAATGCCAGGTGTTAGCAGGTGTTAAATACATCTACTAGTTCAAAGCACAGTAAAAGAGTAAAGATCATGAACCCAGAGGAAAACAGGTAGAAACTATCCTTAAGAAAGCCTACAACCTCACTGCAAAAAAATAAAAAACCAAAACCAAAACAATAATAAATTAATACCTTTCTCAAATACTAAGCGCTGCCTATCCTCATTCACCAGAAACTGTTGTTTTTCTGCTCAGGGTTGGGCTGCAACTAGATGTCAATTTTGAATCCCTTACTCACATAGTCTTCCACTATGGGCTATGTCAGTAACTGCTGATCATCAACATTAGCATTAAACATTGTATAATCCAAATAAATTGGTATTCTAAACACAGCATATCATCTCAAAATAACAAGGAATCTATATAAATCTGTTATCATTTTTCTTAAATAAATACAGTAGATATTCTCTCTAGCAGTACATTCTGCATAAGTGGAAGCCACAGCAAGTAAAGATGGAGGATTAGGGGGAAAAAGTACTGGCATTAGTGAATCCAAGAGGCAACACACCATGAGCTAAGCCTTGCTTGATGGCTGTCACCTACTGGAGGTGGACTTCCCTCTGTCCTGGAAATTTAAAGAAGTCGGCCACAATTTTATTTCGATTGTGCTGTCTTTACTAGCAATGCAAAGAAGTAACACCAGTTACAGATCAACAATACCTTTCTTGAGAATAATTACTCTAAGCAATGTGTTACAACAGACTTAGGGCAAAGAATACACTAAATATACACATTTTCTGGTTAACTAGAAGCAGAAGCACCAATGTAACCTAGCCAAACCCCACCTACCATAGCAATTAGAAGTCAGCATCTATTCAGAGTTATCCAGTGTGTATACATAGCTCTGATATTAAAATGCTTCGCTGCTTGTAAACTGAAATCTGAGAGATCTCAAAATATTCTTTGTTACCAAATAAATTTTGAACCCAAGAGACCTCTGGAATGGTAGTATTTCTGAAATTCAACTAATCATGGTTTAGGTAACCTGAAAACGCTTGGAATTTGTATAGAAACATACCATACCACACAACAGTTAAATGACAGGATTTGTTAATTGCTGGTATTTTAATGGCAATCACTGAAGAAGCAGTATGGACAGAAATGTATTTGCTCTGATCAAAAGCACAGACATGTAAACAACACTTTGCAAAAGACAACACAGATTGAAAATAGCTATCTTCTCAACAGCATTTTATGTGACAATCTTCAAGCCCCATCTACCAAACCCACATGAAACATAGTGTGAAGGGAAAGACATTTTTCCCTCAGCAGCATTGTACAGTACCTCTGCAGTTCAGAGAAGGTTCAGACTGAGTTTTTGATGGAGGAACTGGAAAAGGCAGGCAGTGAAAGGACAAGAGAAGACATATTAAAGTTCTAATATTGCCTTGTAAACCACAACATTCGTTAATTATTCCTAGTATTTGTTTTCCTAAGCATTGAAGAAAAAAAATGTTGACCAACAACAGACACCTAGAGCTGCCATTTGTATTCATTTCCGATTCACTGATGAAGCTGCTTCAACTGCTACATCGCATTAGGTAGGCAGGTGGCAGCAGAGCTTGTCTTTAAATCCTCCTTCGGCACTTGGTATTTCTGTTTCAGGGAAGGAGAGAAAGACAAGCACAAAATATTTCTGGAACCTGCTCTTACTAGCACGGCCTATGCTTACAGCAGCTTTGGTGCGTCTGTTCTGATAACTAAACAGACTCAATGCACAATTCCCAGACCAACTGCAACTGAAACCAATGGGATTATTCCTCTTGGAGATTACAGATGAGAACACGTGAGGCAGGAAATTTGCTGGAACAGAGCAAACTTATTGTAAATTCTATGCATTTACTGGTTTTATCATCAGACACCATGGTGCAGAGTAAAAGGCAGGCAGGAAAAGCTGAAATGCACTCAGTATCAGGGAGATTTTATCAACGAAAGGTAGACTGAAAGGTTAAAAAAGAATAAAATAAAAAATAAAATCTGATGTAGAGAGCAGCACACTATGAACCGTTACATCATTTGCTGCTGTAATTCCAGCCCTGAAGTAAAGTCTTGGTTTCAACTGTGCAGGCTACAGCTGGATTCGAGGACCAAAACTGCACCAGTATATACACCACCACTTTCCTTTTAAAAAAAAAGTTTAAGCAAAGCTTAGGCTAATTATTTTGTAAGTCACCCCTCAAGTATG